CATATTTAGATTTTCTTCCAAGGAGCTTCTGACAGCTTGTTCATTGCAAAGAACAAGTCCATCAACTGTCAAATTTGCTAAAATGTGTAAGATTTCTACCTGTAACACCCTTATTGTTTTTTAAGAGGAACCTTACTCATAAGTTAAAGAAAAAGAGCAGGATATGATAAATAATCTTTATTTGATTAGTATGAAAACAGTGTTATACATTATAACATTTTCGATTAATACAGAGGACAAATGAGTGTTCTAAAGTTATCATGAGTTTAATTACATTTTTTTTTTCATATAATGTGCTCTTCAAGTTTGAGCTACCATAGGATAAAAAAAACGAGAATGTTCTTGCGAAAGAGTTGGACTTGCAATTCTCATACCGTCTAAAGTCTAAACAAAAAATTTACCTTTCAGGTTGTTAGCAGACCTGTGAGAAGGACATCTTTCCTCTTTGCCCCACCCAAGTTCATGAGTCCAAATATTTTGAACTACAAATGGCTCCTCTGTCATGTTATCACCGGGGAGACTGACATTGTAATGCAAGATAATAGGAGGCTCAGGCTCTCCAGCAAGTTGGGAGCCTAGAAGTTGAATTTGAAAGCTTCTAGAGTGCCCATCAGGAATGCGAACCAAAGAAATGGAGGAATCGTCAACGAGGCCACAAGGGATTTCAAGAATAACCCCGTCTCTTGACACTATCTTATCAAGTGTACTTACAGAGAAAGGGCAATTTTTATCTTCTTGGCTGTCACTTTTGCTTAATTTGGAAGCCTTGTCCTTGTCAATTGCAGACAACAAGTCTTTCCACGCCACGGAGGCCTCTTTAACCCCTTGAGCAGTTTCAGGCAAAGCATCAGACCTTGACAGTAGGGGACGCATGTGAGGCCATACAAGCAAGGCCCTTGACCCTTCTTTGAAGATGTCACGTGAAGCAAACAGCTCATTGGGCCCATCAACTTCTATAAAATGGGTTTCTTATATGATTCTGCTTCTTTTTTCACTTTTATCTCTGACGATGTAATAAAAGAATCATTGGTTGGATGATTTCCGAAGAAATCAGAAGCCGACTGCTTCCGCCACTGCTTTGGTGGCTCAATTTTGACAACGCTGCAGTAACGAAAAACCAATCTCATAGCAAGAGCAATGATAAACAAGCCTCCGGACCACTTCTTCATTTTGGTTATCTGGTGAAGCTGATGCTTAAACAAAACCACATGACCCTTCTAGAGTCCTCTTTGTCTGTAACCCAGTTCGTGAACTGTCATCTTCTGTAAGCTTCTTGCTCTGATTTGCTTGCAAAATGACATTGAATACTACTTCCGATTATTCAATAGCCAACACACACACACACACACACACACACACACACACAATAATTCAAAACACAAAAGTTATAAAGAAAAATTCGCCCAAGCAAGCCTAATCTAATAGTTGAATTCTCAAAAATCAAAACTTTAGGATAAAATAAAATAAAAACATATGCTCCAGCTATACACACAAACACAGAGAATGTCACCAAAATTTGAATCTTCCTAATGAGGGTCTAGTTTTAGTGCCACTATCAAGTATCAATCAAAGCAACGAATGACTGAAAAACTCTATAAAGCTTCGAATGAACACAACCTTACTCGCACATACCTTATATGCTTCTCCAGAACTTGAGCACCTCAAATCTGATTCTCTCCCGCAAAAAAAAAAAAAAACCAAAATTTGAAAGGAAATATGCTGTCTATGCAAAACTTGCAAAGCTTTTAAGAATGATTCTTCTTCTTATTCTTCTCAATATGAAAAGATGATCTTCTTGTATTCTGGAAATCAACTTCCAGATACTGCACTCTTTACTGCTAGTAGTAGCATTCTAGATTTCGGAGAGCTCCTAATACGGCGTCGTCTAAGGCGGTTGCCTTGTCAGGTCCCAGGTGGGACGTTGCTGTCTGGATTTTTTTGGTAAGTGTCTGATTTGATTATTGAGCTAATTTTATTCTGGTAAAAAACATATATTTTCAAATCTTTGGAATCAATATTTTTTTTTTCCTCATTTTTTACTAATGATTTTATTATTTTTATGGTCCACCACAATAATTTAGGTGTGCGTTACTTGGGCAACTGCTGTTAATTGATATGATCAGGTTTAATTTTATTTATTTATTTATAATTATCAAGGTTTAAGCTGTTGCTTATATTTATTAATAAAGTTAAGTTGCTTCTTATAAAAAATGAAATAAGATTT